GCAATGGGAAGTTTTGGCACATCCACCATACTCTCCAGATCTTGCACCATCAGACTACCACTTGTTTTGCTCGATGCAGAACCATCTGACAGGAAAACATTTTCAAAATGAAGATCTCAAAAACGAAATAGCTGCCTATTTTGTTTCAAAGCCAGCAGATTTCTACTCCAGAGGAATCCTGCAACTACCAAAAAGGTGGCAGGAGGTTATTGATTCTGATGGAAAATATGTTATTGATTAGTGTGTATTATATTGAATAAATTATTACTTTTAAAAAACAAAAAAAAAACGCCATTTCAAATGAATCAACCTGATACTTCTGACACAGTAGACTCAGGGTTCACATTAGTTTTTTTATATTGCAAGTCCTGGTGCCTAGCTTCAGCTAAGTGGGAACATGTTCAGGTGGTTGTCAACAAGTCCCATGGACTTGCAAATTAATTTGCAAATTCGCAGTTTTGCAAATATGAGTCCCTCCAAGAAAATATGAGTCAGGGACTCACAATAGCGAGTTAATGTGAACCCAGAGACTGAATATTAGATGTTGTGATATAACACGCATCTCAAAAACACATGATTGTTTCCCCCTTGACCACAGGAATCATGGATTCCTTAACCCTTTAGAGCCCAAGCTGTTTTTCAACTCCAGCAAACAAAATTGCACTCTTCCACATAATCAAGTATTATGTCACCCATTATTGTCACTTCTAAACTAACTCCTCATGACCTTGATGAGTGCTGCCATCATACAAACTCAGAAATCCAAAGAAAACTGAAAAACAGGATGCAATAACAATAGTGCACCATAAGGGGCATTTGGGCATCAAAAGGCTAAACCTCCTGGCATTTTGTATGTTAAGATGAAGTGTCAAAGATTGAACTATCTGACACAACTTTGACCATTTTTTTTTGTTGGAAAGAAAGGGAGGAGTGGCCCAGAGAGCAATCACAGGACATAAATTTTTAACAAAGAGTACTCCCAAATATAGAGTCTTTCAGGATTTTACCCATATTCAAGTTAAAGATAGCTTAGGTACAATGACAGTCCTAAGGAAGAGTTAGACGAACAATAAATGAAAAAGAGGTTTAAGATTGAGGTACCCTAAATCCCATCCATCAATTACTAAAGTGGGATGATTTAGGCCTGAATGCACAAATTTCATTTAGGGAAGGCAAAAGAGCATTTAAGCAAAATGCTTTTTTGGCAAGGAACACAAATCACAGACCATATACATATTTAGTAGATAAAATGAAAGTAGATGATGCCAAAGTTCACAAATTTCTACCATGCAATCCTATGCAAGAAACACTGGGGTGACTTTCCAGCAACAAATGAGAAATAACCCAGGCAACTCTTAAGGGCAGAAACTTCTATTGCCTTTTTATCATGTCCATGCTTCAATTTTTGTTCTTGCATTTTTCCAAGTGATAGTGGGGGATATATGTTTTCATTCATTTCAATGGATATACATCATGCTATAACTTTGAGGAATTCAGTTGTGAAATATGCCTCACCCATGCATCAGAAGGCCTCCAAGGAGCTACACTTATGCTTTATTTCTTCATGAAACTCTTTATATTATCCAAAAACTTTTTTAAAAGCAAGCCACAGTAACATATTCAGCTCAAAACTAGTGACTCAAGCACAACATTAGAAGTCTAAGGCTTAGTTAGGAAATATATTGAGATTCACCTTAACCATCCAGAAATGGACGTCCCCTGAGTCCCACACACAAGAAGATTTCTTACCAGTGACAGGTAACTATAGATGACATCAGTAAGTTCTCTATGCAGAAATCCTAATAATTGCTAACATTGATTCTGAGATTACTGATCACTGCATGATCACTGAACAGTTTTAAATTGAACTCTGGTTTTCTGGTTTTACACACCCAAGCCTCCTTGGACGTGAAAATTCAGAAATCAAATCCTCTACTTTTAAACCCATTTGGAACAATTTCCCATCCATCCAAATGAATGAAATCATACTTTCAATTTTGGCTTTGACTAAAAGCAGGAAGAAATTATCACAGTAATAGCGATGTGGGAAGAGAGTGCAGTATCTACAGTCACAAGTCAGAGTAGGCAATGTCAAAGTTACATTGTCAGTGTCAGCATAATGTCAGTCACAGTTACATAGCCAACATCAGCATTATGTCAGTCAAGTGTCAATGAAGTCATGTCCCAAATAACAAACATTGCAGGTGAGACTGCAGGTTAGGGAACCAATTGTGCAACCTTCCAGGTGAGTGAATTCCTATGCACCAGCACCGATTGAAGACAGACAAGAGAAGACCATCCTTCATCCTTTTTCTTTTTGCAACTTGGATTCTTGTCATCCCTACAACCTACCGATGGCTTGGCCTGGGCCTCAAGGACCTTGATGAGATAGTCAATGCGGCAGGAGCGCCGCGTGGGGATCCCACGGGCCATCAGGTGCTCGGCGAATGTGGTGCTACGGGAAAGGGTGCGCACAGGCCGTCCTAGGGATCCTGTGATGGGGCCACCGCGGTTGCGGATGCTTCGCCCAGTAAGGACCCGCACGTCATCCATGCTTAGGCTGGGTTTCAGGTCGGTGTCAGTCGAGTCGTCGTCATCAAGGGGTGAGGAGGTGTCGCCTGTGTCAGAGTCCTCAGGGGAAGTGTCCACCGAACCACCTCTCCCCTGCTGCTACATGATCCACATGTCAACATGTGGTTCATACTATCCTGACTCTACTCATGAACTTCACTCCTAATCACCTGTATACTAAGGGTTTGAGGTTCTTCATTTTCTTTCGTGCACATTTTAATAAGAAAAACTGTATATTTATTCCCATTCGAGATATGTTGATGGAACACACCAACTTTTCCAGAGTTTCTAATGATCGATCAATATTTTTTTTGGAATTGGGATTGTACATAAAAATTTTATTTACAACAGAAGCCATAGATCAGGAATTTTCACAAGTTACTTCTCAGGGGCTAGAAAATTTGAAATGCACATAATATCTGTAAAATGGAAATAACTGAAAAGTGTAATATATTTGCCTATTGGCCTTTTTTCTTTATAATGAAGAAACTGAAGTTCACACTGAATACTGATAACCTGTATCACTGAACCCCATGCAAGTTTATAACATTTTTTAATATTTAAAATAGGAATTAGAGTTTTCCCTTTGAGATACCTTTTTGACCCTCCTGGAATGTTTTGAAAGCATGTTCTGCATTGAAATCTCTCCTTTATACCTAGCTACAAGACATCTACTTCAGTAGAAGGCAGATGGCATCTATTTTCCTCTTTCTTCTAAGAATTTAAATCTGGCATGTCTCACTAGGGTGTCAATGAGTCAGATCACTACTGTACTGAGGTGAAGATGCAGGATATGTGCATCCAGAATAAACCTCATAAATTGTACGACTGCATAAAGACTTAAGAAGGGCATCTTGCAATCCTGCCAAGAATCACAACTTGCCCTCTACTGGAACTCATAAATCAATGACTTTCACAACTTGTGAATTTGTACCCCACATCTTATTCCCAAGGAGGTCCACAAGGAAAGCTCTTTGGTATCCATGGCAATTTCTCTTGGGCTGGAAAGTGCTCCTAACAAGAGAAGCTCTTTTCTCTCTTTTTTAAAGATAGCCCTAACCAAGCAGGTGTCATTCTTAATAGAAATAGGAGCTTTCATTGTGGACCACAGTAATATGGGAATAAATAGGCATAAGCAAAAAAAAGAACCTGGATTGGCCGGTAGTCAGGACGGGTTTCCTGGGCGATGAAGGCAAACTTCCTCTCATTGTTCCGGTCTGATGTGATCAGCTGCTGCTCCCTGGGCTTCAGTACTACTGGCTTGTGTGTCCTCACTGCCCCACCTACACACATAGTATGTACAACCAATTACATGACCATTTGAACCTCTTACCAAAAGTGTTCAAAAATGGTCACTACAACACAGACCAGATCAACTGAGGCTGGAAACTGTAAACACTAAATTTGGAAATCTAAACAAATCTATCAAGACTGAAAAGCAAAATAATAGCTGAAAATCAGTTCATCATGAGCACAAATACTGACATGACAGTTCAGTCATAAGATGACCTGGATTAATTACTGCATATTTCCAACCATAACCAACATATGAGCATAACAGAAGCATTAATATATTTTGCCTTCATAAGCTTCATCAGGCTACAAGGCAAAAAGTCAATAGTTCATGAGGCATTTAAATAAGGGAATCATCAGAGGCAAGCATTGACACTCACCCTGAAGGTACAAATAGAAAGAGGTGTAAAATGACACTTCATGAGGAATTTTTTGAAGGTAAGGGAAAAAGGCCTAAAAAGTTTATTGAAGTCAGATCTGGATAGCAAGAATCATAGATAATAGCAAAGGAAGAGGATACAGCATCCATTCACATGTGCATAAGGAAGCATCCATGGGACTGCTAGATGAGCAGAAAATGAAAGCTGGTACTCTCTAACTCTCTATCATCCCTCCCCCATCTGTTCCTATTCTCTTGCTTCTCATCATTAGCAGCAACCACAGTCAGCATGCATCTTCAGGAGACACTATGATTAGCATTTTGAGCTTTTCTGCAGCCAGCAGATGTTGCTTCATGATGGCTCACACCCTCCATCTTCCTCTCATGTCTCTGAGGGTAACTGAGGTATACAATGGTGTCACTGGAAAACTGGCTTTCTCTGTATTTCCGAAGTATAAGAGGAGAAACCATGCCCAATCTAGAATATTGATATATAGGAGTCAATTATTCCTTTAAATTCTCATTCTTTATTTTCTTAATGGTTTTTCTAAAACCAAAATTACTAATTTTTAAAATAGTGTTATAATAATGTTTTTTTGCTTTAGTCTTCTTTCTTAAAGAGAAAAACTTGCTTCATGGTCGTCAATTGGAACAAATTAGACATTACTGATGAAAGCCTTATCCTTTGTTGGCCTCATTTGCCTAAACAAAGCTGGATGCTTGCTGGTGTGTTTCAGTGATAAAAACTGAGATGCTAGGTTTTGACTATTACAGAGTCCTCTTATGGGACTATGCACTAGGTGAAGGTGACATGGAAACTACCATTGAGACCACATTGCAAAAATCCCAAAATTGTAAAATTCCCAGTCTCCCATCCATGTGTATTACCCATATCTACTGCCTGTCTGAGTACCATGATGGCTAAATATAGCAGAAGAGACCAACCTGTCCCCCTTTTGTGGAAATCCATGGTAAGACAGCAACATTGTAATGTTTAAGATGGATGAAGAGGATTTCATCAACATTTCAATGTATCTCTTTTTTGACCTTAAAGGATTGGGTGAGGGATTTAATGGATGAGTAAAGATGCCTTCTCTTCTGCATCCCCTTATATCTTTTTGTTTCTTAGATGGATGAAGCCTATAAAGGTAAAACATATTGATATCTACACTCACATTTGTTTTCAACTTTCATCCTCTTTAAATACAAACAAAATAAAACTATGAGGATATAATTTAAGTAGATATGGTCTAATAAATTCTTCCTGGGATCATGCAAAATCCACCCCTCATGTAACAAGTGCAGGCCATGGCTCCAACTCACATCTCCTCATGGAGATGACTATGGGAGAGGCATTCTTGCCGTTGATCCACTCCTCAGCTGTGAGTGATGGGGTTGGAGCAGGGGTGTCTGGGTACAAGTCCTCCTGAAACTGCTCGCTCTTTCTCGGGACGATCATGCTCAGGGGCTCAACAAGCCCACGCACGGCATGGAGCTTGTAGAAGCGGAACACCTCGCACTGCCGGACATCCAATCCCCGCTTGGGCATGGAGCCTAGTCCTCGCTGAGGAGATCCACTTAGGAACTGGTTCAGGTAGTAACACCATGGGGCATCATCCACCAGCTCATAATAGCGGATGTTCCCATCTCCCTGCAATATCCACATGTCAGATGTGAGATGGTCACAAGCAAAGAAATCCAATAGTAATATTCAGATGTGAAACTTTTCACTAATTGGCACATCAAGCCCTTAGGAATAATATGCAAAAAATAAAATGCCTTCATCCCACTGCTTATGCTCATATAAAATAGAAATACTTTGCTCCTCCTCTAAACAAAGGTTAACCTAAGTACCTTGAAGCCCCCTTTCTCACCATCTCCCTTTTCTTGCCCTTTCCTCTGAAGTTTTTATAAAAAAGCATACTGCATGATTTTTATAAATTGGACAACATACACAGTTGAATAAGATATTTTGCAGCTTCAATAGTGACCTAATGAATGATGAACGCAGAGAAAGAGAAAAAGAGCTCACTTTGCCAGCAAGGTAGACCATGTGGGTGTCATGGTCATAATATGGGAAGAGAACACCTGAGGAGGAGTCAATGGTGTCCATGCGAAGGGGGAAGGATAGGTCCCGCTCACTCCACATGGCATACTGTCGGTCTGAGTAGCGGGAGAATCCTGTTGTGAACAACCGCCCACTGTCCCCAAGGTACACCACTTTTGATGCCTTTGACCCCTCATGACATGGTGTTTCCTGCAGACACCCCAACAACAACAAATAAATCATGTAAAAGATGCAGGTATCTATATTTAAAAAATGAAATATCAAGAAACCACTCTACCATTACAATAAACCACTTTTCTAAATTGATACCCACAAAAACAAATAATGAGATACTACCATTAAAAAAATTTGAATACAATAAATGCATGAAAAGTGACAACAGAAGGTTTCTTTGAAAGATACTGTCAAGACTGTGGCATAATGATCTTGTTATGCTCCAATCTCTATTGTTCATTTCTTTTGAACCTCATGGTGAGATGCCTACCTGTTCAATTCTCCCTTAACCCTAAAAGTGGCAACTGTTGATCAATCTGTTCACCTGTCACAAGGCTTAACCTTGCCGCTTCTAGGGTTAATGACATGATTCTTGGTGGCAAAAAATTCCCATATCCTTCAATCTTTCTGTGACTCAACAATGCCCATTAAACATCAAATCCTTTGCACTGCCAACCTCCCTTAGCAACCTGATGGTTGACTACAAGGACATTTCTCATCCTTATAAATCCTTTCCCTGACATTTCTAATCACCATTCCACCCCCACATCTCTTGAATGCATGAACCCCTTCAGTGCCATGACTGACCTCAAGCACCTTCCCTGTCCTGGGGTCAAGAATGCGCAGGAGCTTGTCCTTGCAAGTGGTTGCAAGGCGACTTCCATCCCAGTTGAAGGACATGCAGTAGATGATGTCTGGGTGACAGTCAATCACATTCACTGCTTCCCCATCCCCTATGTTCCATACTATTATCTAGAGAAAAAAAATTAACACATGAAAACCCTTCATCATCGTCACTTCCTACCTGTTAGATAGGAATCCATAAACTTCCTTGTTCAAGAACTAAAACTGTCTGTAGGGAACTTAAATGAAGGTCAGTTGATGAGCATTTTCTAATAATTCAGAAGTGATTAAAAAGTATTTTTGAGACGAGACCTTCTTGCTGAGTTGATGGAATCAGTGTTCAAAGCATACCTTATTCTATCGCACTTGTTTTCACCCTATGAGAACCTGGTATATAATATGAGAACCTAGTATTTACTTTGGAACTGGCAGAATAAAAAAAATATCGTTGAACAAATGAAACAAGCATTGTAACCTGTCCAAATCTTTCTTTTCTCCATCCTATGGTGAGCTCATGATTACCAACTAAAACAAGTTTGAAAGCATTGCAATTAGATAACAATAAGTAAATAAGTAAATAGCTTTCATTATCAGAGGAGTTTAAAGAAAGGAATTAATCACATCTGCACTGGATGCTTTCACAAGAACTCTCGTCAAGGAAAACATTTTGTCCACTAATTAAAAAATTATTGAAACTTTTTTTCTACATGCATGTGAAAATGACTGTGAAAATGAGACAAGATGATACAAGGAAAAGACACGGACCAGGTGGTCAAATCCCGCAGAGAGGAGGATGTTCTCGGCTGTAGGATGCCACTCCACATAGCCCACGCGCCTCTTGTGTCCATGTAAATCAACCAACCACTCTGTCAAATTTGACTGCAGTCCCTCGTCTGGGATGTACCACAGCTTGATCTGTCACGCCCACAAATATAAGAATTGGACTGTTAATGTATCTAGCAACCAGAACAAGAGCTGCCATGTAACCTAACACCTGTAACAACTATAATTTAGCAGGTAACTCATTGAACAATGACATGGCTTCATTTCCAGTGAGACATATTATCATAAATCTTTCAATCCATTTGTATTTTAGACATCAGCATCGTGCTCAAATGCCATACTTCAATATCATGGTTAGAGCGATCCCAATGTGAAATCCAAAATGCATTCAATACAGAAATATGCAATTGCTCAAGAACAGAAACATGATTTTTCAGTTGATTCTCTTACTCAAAGATGAATCATTTACATCAGGACAAAAAAATGATCTAATTAATAAATACAAAACTAGAGAAAACTTGCCGACTTCCGAATCCAAACGTTACCAAATAGCACCCCATTATCATTAATCAGAATATTTGGGAGCAGGAGTATCATTTCTGCCTATCTGACGAACATATTGGATATGAGCCATTAAGCTGTAGAGCTGATAAGCCTAACGCTCGTAAAGCAGCACTGGTGTAACTCAGCGACTGGTATCAAGAGACTCAATTGAAGTAAAAAGACATGGGGGAAGACAGACGGTGCAGTCGTCGGAGCAGGAGGCGATGACATTGTCATTGAAGGGATTCCACTTGATGTCAAGGACTGGTCCCCGGTGACCCGTTACCCGCCCCATGTGGATGTCCATTCGACCAGTCTGTAACCGCACATTTAAGGGAGAAAAAAAAAACTTATGTAAATTGCCCATTCTTAACTAAACAGGAGCAATTATAAAGGAATGCAGAAAACACATAATAGAGATATGTCGAAAAATGGAACGTATCATATTTCAGACACGGCCACAAGGGCGTGAAATTCAATCATTAATATTCCTGTTCGGGAGTAACTGAGCTAATGAACATTCAAATTAAGAAATAATGCAAAGCATGACTTAAGGCACGTCGATTGCAATATATAACAAAAATCAAAATTTAGCTCACAAACATTTTCCTACGATATTGAAATCGATTACAGAAAAATCAGAAACTTAATTTTGTAATTTAAAAAAAAAAATTCTTTATCCAGATTTGTTTACCATTACTTTAGAAAATGACGTCATACCACCAAATCTATTATTGTTGGAATATATTGCATTTCCAGAAGAGCCTTTGTCAGGTTTGAGTAGCTTTTGTGAAGGCTTACATGGCTTTACATTTAGTCCCTGGAAACATTTAAGAAATAAAAACTCTGAAGTAGCATTTTCTGCATTTAACATGGAAGGCACGATCGAGAGCGACCTTCTCGAGCGGGATGACGGCGAAGGCGCCGCCGCCAGCGACCTCGGTGACGACAGCGAGGAACTTGGGATTGACGGCGCAGAAGTGGGAATCGTGCGCGTTCCTCGTGATGCTCAAGTTCTCGTAGCATCGCTCCTTGCGCGCCCCGCAGCCGTACACGTGACGGAACTTGCTGCTCCGCACTCCTTTAAAGCTGATCTGCTCGTCACAAGACAACAAGACAACAACGAGATATAAGATGAAAATCGGGAAAACTTGAGGAAGCACCGTCGAAAGTGAACTTTCTTCCTCCATGGCAAATTGAACCCTATAATCAAGGCTCTACGGAAGACTGAACCACATGAGTAAAAAAAATTACAACGGGAATATGGATGGGAAAATGGATGGAATATTCGATGGGAAATTGAACGTTATGCATGAGCTCGTACTCCGCGAGACTGAACTGTAAGAATAACGCGATTTGTGAAAGGGAGCTGTATGAATCAGGGCTTTATGTTGGAGATGAAACGGCATGAATAAGTCAAGTCTATTACAGATGGAACAGCATGAATAAGGCTATTTCATTGGAGGTTTAATAGTATGTTATGAAAAAATCTTATGTACAAGGATTGAGAGGATTTCATTCCTCTATTCTTGGCAATCATCCCTTTCCCCATAACGACACAAAAAATGAATGCAGAGCAGGCATTATGCGCTTTACAAGAAAATGTGGGACTGTGGAAAAAAAAAGAAAAAGATTGGCCTCGTTGATTTGAATAGACTTCCGGCATGGCCCATAATATCCCCAATGGAGAAAAATGTTCCGCCCCACAGTAACAACTGGGAGATAGCCCAGCCCTATAATCCTGACACGCGTTAATATCCTATTTTTAAAATGTCTCTTCTTTCCGCCTCTCATCGCACAATGAAAATTTCCACAATGAAATGCCTGCCCATTACTAGGGTTACACGAATCCTTCCTGCTCGTTTCACTCCCATGCGCATTATTTCAAATTTGGATTAAACTAGGTGCACCATTTTTCTGACGAGGATCCCATAGACTCGGGTTTCGCACTGTCACGTCCAAGTCACTTAATGAGCTCTACTGAGGCGATTTATGTGGAATAAAGCTCCTGCGCATGCTTGGAAATGGCTATTCTCGTTATGAACAACTACGGGCAGTGATAAGTCTCCTGCAGCCCGTCCCAGGCACCACATGGATCGCATGAAAATATGCCTGACGTATTACAAAGGCCTCAAGCCATGTGGAATTAATTCGAGGTGGTTAATTACTCGGAGAACCATCAAGTGACATAGAATATAGCGGTTATATGAAACTTTTGTTAGCGCAACGAGTACGCACAAGCTAAAACTACGTCCTGCAAGCGGATCCAGGTGGTTCGCATTAGTGTCGGATTAAAGGCTTTCGGCAAGATTACATGGAACACCCTTCACGCGCATTAAGACATGACTTATAATCTCGTTTACGGACTCATGTAACCGTAGTATGTGAAATAGACCATTCCATGCTCTTTCCGCTACGTTTTGCTCGGAAAAAGGAGGAAGGAAAATACTCCATTTCCTTGCAGTGCATACGAAATAACTGGCTTGAATTGGAATTATGGTCCCCAAAAGAATCTCATCCAGAACTCCAGCGCTTCCGAAATGGAATGAAGGGCTTCCGGCACTGATTTAATCACGCTCTCCTGCATCCCCTCCCTCCAGACACAATCCTTCCACATCGGGGTATGTCCAATGGAAAAGATTCAGCATAAAAAGCTCAAAAGAAACGAGGTCGTTCACTCCCTTCCAAGAATAAAAAAAAAGCCATCATGACTTTCTTGATTTCTTTTCCAGCAAGGGGTCCACATGAAATTAATAAAATCTCAGCATGAGATGCAAGTCCTTCCTCTTTTCTGGTGCACGCAAAGGCCATCAAGACGACGGCACGAAGAGAGGAACGAGCTGAATCAGGGATTCCTATCTCAACTCAATGAGTCAGCCCTCAGAATCTCTTCCAGTGCATAAAAAAATGTCAATGATCCTGGCTGCTTCTCCATTAAGAATTCCATCGAAATTGCCCTTGACAACTATTTACAAGGCATTATTAATGTACCTCATTACTTCTTTCGCCACGACCGAAGAAAGTAGTTGAATTTTCTAAGTATTAATACTTACGTGAAAAGTAAATAATGTTTTTAAATCAAATAAGGGCTGGATTTATTTAAAAAAAAAGAAGCATGTACGTAATTCCAAGACTTCACATTCTGAGGTCACATGAAATGGAGTTGCGACTGGAATCCCTCTCCTTCAGATCTTTCGCGTTTAAACCGGTTGATGTTGCGAGACAGGCTCGCAAAACGATGAAAAGTTCACCAATAATCATGTATATTTGTGATCGATTACCTGGGGGTTCTTCATCGTGGCTTTATTACATGATCGGATGGGCCAAGTTCCGTTGCTTCTTCCTCCCGTCGACGAACACCCCTCGACTGTGACAAAACCCCAAACCGAAAAAAAAGGAGTAAAAAAAAAGAAAACAACGTAAGCGGAAATGAAAGTCATCACCAAAAAAACACACACACACACACACAATAATAAAACGAAGGGGGAGGGGATAAGAGAAAAGAAAGCTCTCGACAAACGACCGCTATTCCTCGGTCAACTGGAATGGGGCGTTCTGGACGGAAAAACTGAGACATTACGGGTTCACAAAGCAGAAAATTTGCCCGGGATCTCCTTTGTCTCGATGTTGACTGGATTAGCATTGCCGAAACAAGTCAAGCCGGTATATTTTAAACATGTCCTTAAAACTAACCTAATTAATCACAATTTTCTGTATTTGAAATTAGAATAATTTTACAGTTTAGTAGATAAGCGTGCGTCTGAGCTTCGTTTAGTTGTGTACACAATCCATGCGCAAAACCAGGAAAACATTCTAACCTTGAATTTTGGCTCCGTTGGGTCGGATAAACACAATCTATAGGAACTCAAGCTTCTTAATATTTCATCACCGGTCTCGCAATTAGTCGTTGCCGCTGCTGGGGCGCCACGAAGTTGGGCGGTCGGAAGTTCCTGCCGTCACAATTTACATGGTAATCCCCACTTTGTATTGCTAATCTTCGGGTAATTCGAATACATTTCCTCTAAAAGGGCCGAGAAATGGAGTTTGGGCAACTTTTCGCAGTAGGAAAAAGGACTTACAGGTGCTTATGTCAGCCGTTTGAATTCGTTGACTACATTTTGAACGATAGAAAGGCACATTCAATAGAATGTACGTCGATTTCGACTATGGCTCTTACCTACGGCGGCGCAAAGAGTCACCACCAACTCTTGAAAATTTGTATGAGCATTGGTGATGCACGAAACTTTTTTGCGCATGCAATTGCATATTGCAAACTCGTGGAAAATACAAAAAATCTAGGAACTTCATTCTTGTATTTTTCGCTTAAAATTTCGCGTTTTAAATATTGATAAGAAGCTGTTCATATGAATCTCGTATCTTCATAAACTGATCGAAAATAATTCTACTCTAAGCAATCATATATAATCTTATTGTAAACAAGCATAGGTGAAACTCAAGCAACATTTTTGCCTAGTCATTCGGACAAAAAGTAAACCTAAATTGCAATTCAAGGTAATGTGCATCCTGTTAAAATCAGCAGCCGTTTTGGACAAATACTGCTCGTTCGTGAGAACAGCAACGACGGTGATGGGGTTGAGCCATTTTTCTGTTTGTTCATTTTGGGGCCATGGAGGGAGGGACGAGTGCATGAGCAGGAATCAGGAGTATAACATAACTGTTCCTCCATTTTCCATGTACAAAAGAAAACGGAAGGAGTGATCACGGAAGCGAAACGAGGGCTGCAAAAAAAAAATAAACCAGTCCCACCTCCTCCTCCGTTATTCGTCATAACTTTTTTTCACCCCCCCCCCCCCCCCCCCACCCCCCCCCCCCAATGTATTCGAATTACCCGAAGATTAGCAATACAAAGTGGGGATTACCATGTAAATTGTGACGGCAGGAACTTCCGACCGCCCAACTCCTTTTTTGTACATCTGACGCCAGTCAAATCCATATGTGTTTCATTCATCCATTCTTGTGCATTGCAACACTTTAAAAAATTATTCGGAATCACGAGAACTTAAAAGAAGCTATACACTTAAAGCAAGAAACATTGCGTATGCAGTCGAAAATTCAGGACAAAGGAAAAGAGTATCACTTGAATGGTAAGGATCGTGAAAAATACAACTGAAAGAAAATGCAATTATTCTCCAGCTGTCATAGACACAAGGAATTCCCAGTAATATAAAGTAAAAGGAATGAATGGATATTAAAAGGAACACCCTCAATACTCCGAGGTCATACACATGTAATTTCAAGCGGATTGCATGTCCTGATAGAAGTATATTGATTTTGACAAAACTAAGACGACTGGTTTCATTCAGTGAACTTCATTTTGCGTGTTTCCTTATTCATGGAGTTCAGAGAACATTTCTGAGGGGAAAAAAAAAATAAGAAACGCACGCGGTGCGAGAACACAAGTTATTTCGGTTGTGATTCTCGACTGAAATTCAAACCCTAATGTAAAACTTTTTAAATGTGCTACATGAATTTAATGAGTCAGATGGAAAATATCCCAGGAACCATATAGAGGGAATCCCGAGATTCATGTACACTTAATCATTTTTTGGTCATTCTTGCAAGGAAAACAACATCCATGGTTGTCAATGAACAAGCTCATCCCGAGGGTTACCAAGTTCATGATCACTCCTTTCCCGTCGGACGGATCTTAAATGTGAAACCCATCAGGCAACTTTTTTTAAAATATTTAGAGTGGTTTGTTTTCCATGGTTCTTCTGGCGAATCTTTAGGGAAGATTAACGGGTAAAAATCGATGCCGCGTAACAAAATCGGAAAGGAAGAAATCTGGTACGGTAAACCAAAAGAGAATCCCGGTCATACCTGGAGGAGAGGCAGAAGACAGCTGCACCATATCCAAAGCCCCTGCACTAACCGAATGAATGAATGAACGAATGGCTGCTCGGATGTGACACCGATCTGGCACCTGTTGGAGGCTCCCTTTCAAAACACCCCGAACCCACTTTTTCCCCTCTCTCCGTGAGCTTTCACTTGATAGACCACGTCCGAGCCAGATAGAAAAAATGCGGACGGCAATGAAACGGGAGATTCCAAACGTGAACCCTCGTCACTTCACTTCCTTTCACGGTCCGAAGCACCGCCATCGACAAACAGCGAAGGCCTTCGACTTCGAAGGCCTCCGAACAACGGAGCGGTGGATCGGGATGGTGGTCCAATATTAGGAAGCTGTTGCGCGAGCAGGGAGAGCGAACAACACGCACGCACACACGTTCCCACAATGTGGATGTCGGGGATGGGGGGCGGTGGTCTGCTGGTCACTTTCTGGTTCACTGGCCCCCCTCATACACCTCCCGCGTTCATTTCACCTCCCGCTCACGCACCTCTCACCCGCTCTCCTCAAGAAATTAAGTGCCCAATTTTTCTTTACTCGAAACATAATTTTTCTGAGCATACAACGTGAGTCGCGAACGTTTGAATGATGCACATGTTCAGATTCCCATAATATTGACCAAGGAATCTGATGAAGGAACCACCCTCTCCACCCCCTCTCACGCGCATTTCACACACCTTCTGTCTGCCCAATCCCGCGCCTCTTCCCCTGAATAAAACCCCCCTTCCGAAGTGCTCAAGGTCACCAGGGAAGACGAGACAATGCAGTCGAGCTTCTACCCCACGGCATCAATGTGGCATCGTTGTTCCCACGGAAACAGCAGCACACGTTGACACGCGACAGGCGGACAATGGAGCGACCTTCGTCCAATATCAGTGTCGCCCATCTTGAAAATGAGGGTTCCCTCACATACGTGAAAAGGGACCAAGAAAGAGCTAGGCCTCCGGGATGAGGTTCTGTTTATCACTGGCTATATCAACACTCCGCTCCGTGTTTTCTCAAGGCCATGCAAGACTTAGGCACACGTGCAGAAGCTCCTCCAAAACCCCGTGGCTTACACTTTGGGTTTAGGAAATGAAGATAAAATAAACAATAAACCAGAAATCACAGAAAATCCGTAAGAGGCGCCGATATCGATCGAATTACCTGGCAGCATTTGCCTTGCGAGACTCTTGTTAAAAGCCCCCCCCCCCCAATCGACCATCAAGATAAAGCAAAATCAGTATTATAATAAAATGTTTCAATTGAACAAAATAAGAGGTATCCGAAAACCAAGATCTACAGTTACAGACTTCGAAGCCAGGCAGAATCTGCGCCGTCATGAATCTCCAGATGGCCTCCCAAAGGTCAAACACACGAGAAATCAGTATTTCTCCTGGGAAGGTAGGGGAGAGGGAGAGGGAGAGGGAGAGGGAGAGGGAGAGGGAGAGGGAGAGGGAGAGGGAGAGGGAGAGGGAGAGGGAGAGGGAGAGGGAGAGGGAGTGGGAGAGGAAGTGGGAGTGGGAAAGGGAGGAGAAAGAGAGAGGAGGATGAGGGAGAGGGAGAGGGAGGGGGAGGGGGTGGGGGTGGGGGAGGAAGAAAGAGAGCAAAGCGAGAAAGAGCCTTCATCACGGGAAAAAAGTCATCATCGTCTCCACGCCCTGAAACGGAATCCACTTGACTTTGCACCAATTTGCAGGGCTGAGAGGAGTCGACAACCTCCTCATATTTCAAGCTTCAGTGAACTCGAACATATACATAATCTACCCCTAAATAAAATAAAAGATTTATCAGTTAAATATATCCAGTTAGAGAAGACTGTAAAAGTCTATGTAAGTATGTTCCGTAAACATATACATTTAGAACTGTGTAGTTATTAAAATGGCTGATACATTTGCTCTGAAGTTTTGAACAGGCGGAATGATAAAGCTCGCAAAAGGGAAAAGAAATCCTGGGCGTTATAGATACCTATGCGAGTCTTTGTATCTTCATCAGAAAGTGAGGAAAAGAAAACACGTCAAAGGCAGAGATTCAAGTTTTTGTACTTTTCCCACATGGCGTTGAAAAACTTACAATGGAAAAAAAAAATCGTGCAGAGATAAAAAAATTCTGGGAAAAAGAAAGCAGAATTCTTTTTCCCATAGATTTATATGAAAAAATCAGTGGGCTTTCGTCACGTGGAAGACTTTTCCTTTCTTGCAGCAATTCAAATTAGCCTGTAAAAGTCGCAAGAAAACTCTGGGAAGAAAACCCTTTGCCTCGTAATAAACCGGGGCCATTGCTCGGCCGACACGACCCGTAGGCCAATAGGCACTAGGCCAAATAATCCAAACAAGAGTCGGCGCGGAAGAAGTCGACAACCTCAATTCTTTTCCCTTACCTGTCACGGGCCACTGCCCAAGACATTCTCCCTCTCGCTTGCATGCCAACAAGGCACGCGACTGTGCAGCCCTGCATTCGACAACCCTGCTCCATCCATCATGAGAGGGAAACTTCCACTTTGTTGTCAGGGAAGGGCA